GGAAACTGTGGTTGTTTAGCAATTCGTTGAGTTAAGTGCAGCACACTGAGAGAGGAAGAGGAAAGGGAGTGGCATAAGAATGACGCACATGGACTAATGGTTTGTGCATACTTTGGTTTAATAAGCCAATCTAGGATGGTCTGAAATAGCTGTGTGTTTTGGAGAGTGTTTAGAGAGCTTTTGTCCACACAGAACTGAGGCAGCAAGCCGCCACCTTTTCAGGATCTATGGCAGAAGATTCTAGGCCACGATTAGAGTGCAACCGCAGGCAGGCTTGAGCTCCCAGATCGCCGTATAGAAATTAGCTGCCGAGTAGACAGCAGGAATTACCGTAAAGGAGCTGGAAGCTACGCAGGTGCACTTTTAAGTTCTAAGTCGACCGGTTAGGAAATCGTGCCGTGGTTTAATCATCCAAGTGGGAACCCCCACCTCAAGGCCTGTTCATAATTTAATGTACAATATTTGGTCTCGTTTCTCTGCATGATGTTTGGTATAGGCTCTCTGACAAATTGTAATACCTCGGTACTGTTTCTGACATGACTGCAGGTGTGTATCAGATCAGCAAGCAAATCAAAGCTCATGAAGGCAGTGTGTTCACGCTCTGTCAAAGGAGAAACGGGATGCTGCTAACTGGAGGCGGAAAGGACAGGAAAATCATTTTGTGGGATCATGACTTGAACCCTGAAAGAGAAATTGAGGTACGCAACACAAATACTTGTCGCTGAACAAGTGCAGCCTGTCGATGTGGTGCAGGAGGAGCCATAAGAATTCTGTGGATTTACTTCTCCCTCGTGATTCTCGTTTATCAAATGGTTAGACTGTTATCCTACCCTGCACTAAGGACAGCATATGAGAGTCATCCCTGTTGTGTCTTATCAATAACCCTGTGAGGCAGGTCATGCTGAGAATCCCCCACCGGGCTCCATGACTGAGTGGGGTCTGAATGTCAGTCCTTAGCCCTCACCTCATCTAAGTGGGGTGGTCTGTCCACTTCCTCGTGTTAGCGGTTGCAGCTTGCGTCGAGAGCCGGTGTTGTTGCTCGTGTGTTGTCTCGTATGTTGAGCACCGGTGTGGTGGGGTATGATGGGAGTGTTGGACTGAGAAGCTGGGAGATCTGGGTTGTAGTCCCCTCTGGCCATGAAGCTCCCTGGGCCAGTCACTCATTCTTAGTTTAATCGACTCACAGGATGATTAGCATGAGGATAAAGTGGGGCTGTGAAGGCCACCTTGGGCACCTCGCAAGAGGAAAAAAGACAGGATACAAATGCAGTGTAATAGGAATAACTTTCAGTACTAACTTCTGGCCCATCCAATGTTCCTTCCAGTCTTTAACATTCCTTATTGGCTTTTCCTGCAAGTTCAGTGTCACTCCTGTGGAACAAGAGGGCCTTTATCACTGACAAATCAGGGCTGGTTTTTAAAATCATGGTTGATCATAAACTCAAACCCAAATTCATTGAATTCCAAGAAGAAAATCCCCCGATCACGGCAACTCTGCATTTGTTTTTCTGAATGATTGATTGATTGACTGGTTGAAGCAGCTTTTTCACCTCAAAAAGGGCACTTAAGGCAGCTTAAAACCAAGATTAAAATGAAGACTTAATTGAAGCATAGTTTAAAAACAAATTAGTTGAAATCATAATTAAAATCACAGCAATAAATGAGAGAAAGAGGACCAAACCCAGTAAGATGTCTTTCTGCAGCAGACAAACTTAACATACCAAAGGATTGCCTGAATAAAAAATGGATTTTCCTGCTGGCAGAAGGACAACAGAGAGAGCCAACTGGGCCTCCCTCAGCAGGAAGTTTAGCAAATATACAGAGTTATATTGCACTGATAAATTCAGAGTCTCTGGAGAAGTGAAACATAGCTATTAGTTAAGAGAAATAGCTTCAAAACAGTTCCTTTGAAAAGATAATTAATAAAATTAAATAGATGCCTGCTGGATATAAATCACATTTTACTTTGTAAACATTGGGCAGGATGCTGTAGATCCTTATCACCCTATTCTCTTTGTTCACTTGCCATGTTCTCTGAACGTGTTCGTTACTTGATGCTGAAAAATGCCACCAGTTCTTTGAATCAAATATGGTAGTTGAAGAAAACAGTCATTTGATTTATATATCTGGCAGCTGTTCAGGTCGTTCATGGAAAAGATGCTTTTCATGAAGGGGAAATAGTAGCACAAGTAGTTGTACAGTGTAAGTCAAGAGCCAGATTTTTGTGATTTTTTTCTCTAATTCTTCTTACAATGCTGCAATAGCATTGGACAGTCAACGGATAATTCTGACAGTAACACTGGAACGAAAGTGTTTGCAGAGACTCTACTTTTCCTGCCAAAGCTTGTTCCCCAAATGTTGAGAAATACTTGTAAGATTCCTGGGCATGAAGCTCTAACTCTGTAGCTCTGTTGGGACTCTCCAACAATGGATTCAATGCAAATAGCGTTTGATGTGGCCCATGGTGTCCCCATTGTTGTCCTCAATGTTCTTGATGTGTTTATAATCCAGGCTGTAACTTCTCTTGAAGAGGAATAGAGTTACTTTATTAGAAAAGCCTGAATCCAAGGGGACTGGGACTTCCGCCACTCCTCAACGTGAGCCTCCCCCTCCTCAATCTGGAACTCGCAGCCAGCCTCTGCGTTCCATATTCCCCTTGACAGACCCCATCCAAAAGTGCCTTATCCTAGGGAAGGAAGGGGGAGTAGGTCTTCTTCAGCACAGGAACCTCTGTCACTGATGCGTGGAGCACCATTTGCTTCTGGGAGTCACGGAACTTTTTCTCCAACCCGAATCGCTGGTGGAGAAAGAGACGATGTGCATTGTTGGCTGCATGGGGACATGCTCCCTGCCCTGAAGGAGATCTGTCCTGCTGTCTCCTCTCTCTGCAGGGTGAGGTTTTCTTTGGCTTGGGGAAAGCGGAGGAGATGACAGGAAAGAGAGTCTACATTGCCAAATACATCTCAGACACTGAAATGGCAATTTTTTGTGAGATCAACAGGCATGCCTGAATGACTTTTGAGAATCATCCCTACTGATTAACCCGTACTCACCACATGTGGATAGTGGTCGTCTTCCCACTGGACAGTTCATTCTCAAGAGCCAGTGCACTGTGGCCAAAAGAGGGCTGAATTTGGAATAGCTCAGTGGAGATTTTGACTCAGGTCCAGGCTCCTGCTCAGAGACCACACGTGTGTGCGATCTTCCGCATGTTGACATTTGAGCCTAGTCTCACTTCTCCTGATCGGTCACATCAGATACTTGATCACTGAAGGATACAAATTTGAAAAATAACTAGTTAATATTTTTTTAACTACTTAATCCGGGTTTTAATTGCATTGTATTATATTTATTTATTTATTTCTGTGAGCTGTCCCGAGGCTATATAGCAAGGGGATGGCATACAAAAACTTTAAATAAATAAATATAAAGCAAGGTAATTTCCATTGCCACCCAGGCAGTGAGTCAGAATGATGTGCATGGGAGTTCTCAGCAAAAATGTCATTTTAACATGTATGAATAGTGTTACGCTATGAGGTCTACAGTATGGATTTAAAGGAAATCTGATCTTCTTAGGTTCCTGATCAATACGGGACCATCAGAGCTGTGGCAGAAGGCAAAGCAGATCAATTTATACTCGGCACTTCACGGAATTTTATTCTGCGAGGAACTTTTAATGATGGCTTCCAGGTGGAAGTGCAGGTGCGTTTCTTTTCCCCCTTGGAACTGGGCTACAGAGATTTAGGGCACAGTCCAATCCAGGTGCCTATAAGCTTCCAAATTCAGGGGATTAAGGGCATCCTATGAAGGGCGGGAGGAGGATGGAGGCTGCGGTTGTCTCCCACTCCGTGGGAGCGCCATCAGTGCCATGACTCCCGCTCCTTCTAGTCTGCCACTCAACTAGGCAGCCAATTTCAGCCATCCAGCTGAGGCGCTGAGCAGAGATGAAGGAGGTTTAGGTGCTACAAGAGTAAGTTCTATGTCGGTGGTGCCTGTCTCCTCCCATCTCCACCCCTGGAATGCCTCTTACACCCATTATCAGAGGTTGTTCTTGTAACGTAGGAGATACAGCTGCCATACTTCCCCTGTGCTGGCAGCAAGGGGGGCATTCTGAGCTCAGAGACCCATCCACAAGGTCAGCAATTTTCCAACACCATAGCTGGGTCTCAGAAAAATCTATGGCCATTGGTATGCTGTCTTGTGGTCACAGGACTGTGCTGCCCATCGCTTTTGTTTGTTATACATAGGCATTTGTTCTATAATTCAGGGGGTTTTTTGCTTGATATTTTTAGGGCCACACAGATGAGCTCTGGGGCCTAGGAACGCATCCCTTCAAAGACCTGTTCTTGACATGTGCTCAAGATCGGCAAGTTTGTATGTGGAATTCGGTGGACCACACGCTTGAATGGACCAGGCTGCTAGATGTACGTGACCTTCCTTGTGTGAGGTTGTCATTCATAGTCATGGGATGCTTTGAATGCTCAGGAGTGGAACTTTCTTGTTACATGTTGTTTAGAAGTAAAGTCAATTGCACTTCAGTCTGCCAAAACAAGCAAGGACGATCCTTTGCTTTGCAGAGAAGAACCATGGCTCAGTTGGAGAGTACATACATTAAAGTCCGCAGGTCTGAAATTCAGTGCCTATCATTTCCAGTTTAAAAAGTCAGAAAAGAGGAAAAAGAGAAGACATGCATTTGAGACACAAAGCGCCACACCCAAGGATTGAGTATGGGTTCTTGAACCATGCTTTGCTGTTAAACATGGGTTATCATGTTGCAATAACAAGCCATGCTTTGTTAGCCACAAACATCCCATAAGGAGAATCCATAGTTTGTTGTTGGTTCATGACTTGTTGGTTGTTTGTGACCCACAAGCCCTAGTTTGTGGGTGTGGCTGGGTTCAGACAACACAATAGCCCACATTTCAAGAACAGCAACAGTAGTTTATCATGCTGTCTGAAGCCAGCTGTTGCCAATCAGAGTAAACTATAATGGTCTAGATGGATAAATTGACCTAGTAGATCTTCACCATTATTCAAGCACAGGAGCCGCTCTGGCTCCAGGCATCACCACTGAGGCTACTTGGAGGTCTGTGCAGGCAGCATTGCAGGTAGCCAGTCAGATTGCTCTTTGCCTCCTGGGCTGCTTTCCCAACCTCTGCTACCTGACTGATTGCTCCTGTATTCTCATCTACCCTTCCTGCTGCAATCTTTCCGTTCACAAGCAGCGTTTCCACACTCCCCAGCTGCAAAGCCTACCACTGAAGCAAACAACAAGGCAAAGTTAAAGAACCCCTGCTGGGAGTAAACGGCAACTGCAAGACAGGGAGAGAGCCAGTGGCTGGTTAATCTTGTGAGGAAGAACAGTGTGGTAGGCCTCTGCAGAATTTTACAATTCTTTAGGATGGAAGAGCAATTGGAAATATTTTGTTAAATCATATTTTAGTGTTAATTATATCATCAGGAAAGTATGGCATTAGAAACCTCTTTCCATTGAACGTGCTCTCCTTCAGGATATTTTTATTTCTGTGTGGCTGACTAACTTGCCAGGGTCCTCACATTGCACAGGTACAGTGTGCTAGAGAGATCTGGAGTAGTAGTAAAATTGGGTAATGGGGACCAGGGAGGCAGAAGAAAAAATTTGATTTGGATTTCCAAATCAAATTCAACCAGTGGTTGTGACCATTTAAATGTTGGAGGTCACAGAAGTGATTTGCTCGAACTTTGGGATGATCAGAGAAGCCATGGTGAAGCATGGAAACCGCAGAACAGCCAGTTATTTCTAATTGGGGGTTCTAAATACCAAAAGTACCATGCTGAAATACCATGACGGGGCTTGGATGACAGAACAGACCATTCTGCACAAGCAGCCACTATGGCTTGTTATACTATGCAAACACAGCCACTGTTTCAGAAATAGGGGTGGTTGGAATGCATAAAAGCTGAAACACCACCAAAGAATCAGTGGAAAGGGGTACAGCTAGGAAAGAAGCATGGTCCTTTGGGGAGTCCCAGAGGGCCGGGTTGAGATCTCAGAAAGGGCCAAGTGAAGCCTTCAGGCAGGGGATTCCTGACTCTTGTTAAAGAATGAGTGCTTTATGTTATATGCCAAAAAAGCAGAACATGTTGCTGTATTAATTGGAACAATGGAGTTCACTCAGTTTCCCTTTTTCAGTCCAGGTGAAGCAGATCTATGTGAATGTCACTGGCTTTCAGTGTAAATCTTAAAACCAAATTGTGTCTTTCAGGAACCAGGACACTGTGCTGACTTCCATCCAAGTGGAACGGTGGTAGCGATAGGAACACACTCAGGAAGGTAATTTTTGATTATTTATAAGGCTGTGTTCAGATCAGCGTTATTTATATGGCTGTGTTTATTTATTTATTTTCTATTTATATCCTGCCTTTTCCCTACAAAGGGCTCAAGGCAGCTTACATCATTCTTCTCCATCTCATCCCCACAACAACAACCCTGTGAGGTAGGTTGGGCTGAGAGAGTGTGACTGGCCCAAAGTCACCCAGTTGGCTCCATGGCTGAGTGGGGACTAGAACCCAGATCGTTTGAGTCCCAGTCCTGCACTCTTAACCACTACACCGCACTGGCTCTCCTTGAACCTGTTCCTATCTGTATGATGCTGATTTCCCAAGCAGTCTCCCATCCAGGCATTGACCCCTCCCAGTATAGCTTAGCTTCAGCATGGTGGCTGCCCCACAAGACCTTAGTCTGTGTTTGTTCCTTTCCCCATTGGCAATAAGAGTAACCTTGTACATACAGGAGAAAAAAAAGACCCCTTTACGGGAAAGAATGCAATATATACTGCATCTGTGAAGTAATACTTTAAAATGACAATGGAATGTATCAAAAGGTGAGCTAAACAAAGCTGATGTACTCCAAGAATGTACCTTTCCTTATCTCCCCCCCCCCCCCACACACACCCCATCTGTGCCAGGATAGTAAAATGAAACCATATGCTCCTGATCGTATGTTCTCCCTGACAAGGGAAGGTGGTTCTCCATACTGAGTATTGTGAAAATCCAAAAGACTCCATCTGTGCCTCCACAGAGTGGAGGAACACTAGATATCCTAGCTGAGAAAGCAGCATAGCGAGGAAGGAACCCAGAGGTGGATTCCACTGCAATCCCGTTGAGGTTTTGTGGGTAGCAGGCAAAATGAGATTATGAAACCTACATGATGTCTGCTACCTTGCTTCTGCCTCCAGGCATTTATACTGCATGCCCTGCATTCAAATTGCCAAACATCCATCAAATTAAGTCATCACACCTAGAAGACGGAGTAAAAAGCAGCGCACGCACACGCCCAACCTGCCATGTCTTTACTGTTGGGGGAATTACGATTTGTTTTTCTCTGCATTTCCTTCTAACAGTCCAACGTATTGTGTTTTGTTTACAGCAAAGCTCAGCATTTCACAACCTTCCTCAACTTTGTTCTCTGTGAATTTTTTCACATGAAAATGAGAGACCTTGTCTGTCCCCCTCTGCTCCCCGCGGAGCCAAATGAACCCAGCTGTAGTAATAAAAACTGCATTGGAGCTTTTATTTGAACTGCTGAGTTTAGTAACAGGAAATTTGTTTCATGGAGATGTGCTTTGTATTAACAATCACCTCCATGCCTGTATGATGCAAAGGAAAGAAGGCCTGTCTTCTACTCAGCCCTGAGTAGACTGACTCACAGGGTAGATGGCACCATACTAATGGTGGACGTTTGTGACTGGTAATAGGAATCTCCAGGTCCCTAAACAGTAGCTGGATTTCTTTGTATTCTGCTGGTGTTAATTCGATATAGTTTTATCTTGCCCGGCTCTTTAGGAAGATTCATGGCAATACACAAAACCATGCTTTGCAGACAGGAGCACCTCAAGGTTAATCTCCTCTTCATGTCAGGATTGCGACATGATCATGTTGGTCATGTTGAATGTGGGGTTTTTTTGAAAGGTGGATTATAGTTTTGCCTGTTCCCAGCTGCAGCAACAAGCCATGGTTTGTTAATCAGGAACATCCCATGAAGAGACTGCATTGTTTGTTGTTAGGCTGTGAACTGTATCTTGTTCACCATGATTTGTTACCTTGGCTGGATTAAACAACATGATAGTATATGTTTCCTACCAGTTAAAAAACTGAAGTGCCATTTCAAAGTACAATTCAAAAGATAAAATATGATACCATTATTGAAAAGAATGAAATACCATATATCACATGCTTACGTTATTAAATTGGATATGTATTATGATGCCTATTTTGCTTTGGTCAGGGTTTAACACAGATAACAGAACAAAGCACTTCTAGTAATTTGGGTGGTAGTATAAGAAAAGAAGGGGGTTGCATTTGGGGTGTACTTTAAGACCAAAGAAAAAGCCTGAAGCTCCTCCTTCATCCAACTGTACAAAATTGGCTGTAGGTGAAACCCACATTTTTGCTTTGCCCCCACTTGACATTATTGAAAGTGGTTTCTGTTGCTGTCCAATGAAAACATTTCAGCTTTTTTTCCACCAATTCCATCCATCTTGCCCTCAGCATATTACACAAGCTGTGGCGGTCTTTTTTGTCTTTCATGTGGTCCTTTAACCACAAATTGGTCTTAAGCCATTTAGAATATAGGCCATTTTCCAGATATCTGGTTTTGAGACTTTGTGCTCACTTGTTCTCTCTCTCTCTCTCTCTCTCTCTCCCTCCCTCCCTCCCTCCCTCCCTCCCTCCCTCTCCCTCTCTCCTGTTATTGTTGAAATAATGAGAGATTTCTTCTTCTCTTAAGAACTTAACTCTGATAAATCTTGCTCATTATACTTTTTTTAAATGTCAAGATGAATTTTGCTGTGCTGTTTGTGTTTTTAATTTTATATAAGACCTTATAATTTTATAAGCGCTTTATGTCTCTTGTAAACTGCTCGGGACCTATGAGAATGGAGTGGTATATAAAAATCTAAATAAATAAGTGGGTAGGTGTCATGCCTGACGACTTGACAGAGACGTCGACTCACGAGAAAGAATCAAACGTTCACAATGAGAATCAGGCATTGGAACAAGGGGACTTGTACTTGGGGCCCAGTACCCAAATGGCCCCTCTGCAGCCTGACTCTGGGACTGCTGAGCATATACCCCCCCCCCCACAGCCTGACTCTTTGGCTTCTGAGCAAGTAGCCTCCCCACAGCCTAACTATGAGGCTTCTGAACGAGTAGCTTCTCCTCATCCTGACTTGGAGAGGCAGTATTAAGAGATGCATAAACTGCTTTATTCACTTCAGTAGCTAAGAATGTGTTTCTTAGAGTTGTCTCCGAACAGCACTCAAACTAACTGTGCTTAGCTAACCTTTAAGCTGAAAGCCATTTTTCCAGAATGTTTCCTTTCTTCTCCTTAACAGGTGGTTTGTTCTGGATGCTGAAACCACTGTTTTGGTTTCAATTCATACGGATGGCAGTGAGCAGCTCTCGGTGATGCGCTACACCGTAGGTAGGCAGAATTGCATTGAATTTACAGTGATCGCTTCTTTCTAAATGTTCCTCATAAGAAACTAAGAACTTTTCGCGTGTTTTAATAGTACATCAGATTATCTCTGCAGACTTGCAAACCGGGTCATTTGTTAAAAAGGTGTTTAAAAAGCAGGTGCAACTTTGCCTGCTCCTCATTCAGTAGTCCTGTTTGCCAGCCTGCCTCCATGAATAGTGAGCTAAATAACCCAGGATGAAATGTGAATTCAGAGAGGAAGCATAATTCACCAGGCACGAGCAACCAGCCTTCCCCAAACTACCCGGCATTCCTACAACTCACAGCTGCCTGAGGGATTATGAGAGATGCCACCCGACATGTTGGGAGGCGACCACCATGGGGAAGACTGATTTAAACCATCGAGCCATTGTGGGAGCAGCATGGAAATAAAGAAGCCCATCAGTGTATTGGGTGTCTCTCCCTCCATCCCTCCCTTCTTGGCTGTGGCTTTTCAGATTGGAAGCCAGCAAACTGGGGATTGTCCTATTAATTATATGAAAGCTGCTCTGAGAGACATTTTGGCTGACGAGCCGCACACTAACACTTCAGATGAATCGATCAATCATCTATCATGGCTCCTAAAATATTAAGGGAACACATTTCTTAAAATGCAAAATGTCACTGAGGTACGGACCCATCCAGCAGCTTTTTCATAGCCCTAATCTCAGGACGTGCCTGGCAAAGGCTGGCTTAAAAAAGAACGTTTGCTTTTTCCCCAAGTGTGAGAGAGCAAAGGTTCTGGTTTGATACATCTGCCTGTGAGTGAAAGAATGTTTTCAAAGGGGGTGTGCGCATGCACATGTGTTGGGGGAATCAGTGGGAATTCTTACCATGCTGCTGTCATGGCCAATGCCCCAGGGTCTTGTCAAGCTAGATGATGGCGCCTCAGCGTGCCATTTATTTATTTCAAGTCTTGGAATCACTGGATCTGGTCTTTCATGTCCGTGTCCTGAAAGTAGTCAGGGCAAGGGGAGGGCAGGAAGCCTTTGTGACGCTGCAAGGGACTCAGAAGAGCTTTGGTTTAAAAAGGGATGCTTAGCTTTATCGTGGTGCCCCAGGCATGGATGCAGCACAGCTGAGCAGAATTGTATCAGAGCTCTACACAGAGTGTGTGGGGACGTTGCAGCATTAATATCAAACTAGGATTCTCCCTGGGAGACAGTCAACGTCAGAGTGATCGTCTCTTTTGCAGACCTGACAAATTGGCAGTTTACACTGTCAGTTCTTTCATTCCTGCTGTGTGTCTCAGTACATGTGCATCATTTGGATAATCATCATTTGCAGACACTACCGAGGAGGCTTGTCATGTGTTGGGACTATAAAATGGCTCATTCTGCTGAAACGGCAGCCTTTATCATTCCAAAAATGGACAAATGCCTGCACATGTTCAGATGTTTCATTAACACCTGTGCCATTCAGTTGGGCTGAATGCAAAGGCAGAGAAGTTAGCAGCATTCTGCAAGGCCCATCCCTCCAGATACCACCTACTTGGTATCAGTAGGTGGAGGAAGCCAGAAAAGGCTATTATCCAAAAGCACAGGCAGCTTTTCACATGTGTAGGTGAGCCCCAAGAGATCCCCTGGGCATGGGCAACCTGTGATGCTCCAGATGCTCTTGGATACTCACTCTTCCTGTTCCTGACCATTGGCCATGCTAGCTGGGACTGATAGGGAGTTAGCATGAGAAAATGAGAAGAATCCTGATGCTGGATCAGACCAAGGCCCCATCTCACCCAGCATTCTGTTCAGCAGCTGACCACAGGAGGTCTGAGAGCAACAGCGCCCTCCTGCTCATATTTACCAGCAACTGGTGCACACAGATATGCGGTCGCCATAATAGGAAGTAGCAGAGAGACATCAGGACTAGTAATCGTTCATAGTCGTCTCCGCCACAAATGTGTCCAGTCTCATTTTAAGGCTGTCCAGATTGGTGATTGAGGATTGATACAGAATTCACTTCTGCATCTTGTGGAAGTGAATTCCAGTGTTTAAATGTGCACTGTGTAAAGAAGTGCTTCCTTTTATCTGTCCTGAATCTCCCACCAGCCAGCTTCAGGGAATTACCCTTTCCCAAGTTCTAGTATTATGGGAATGGGAGAAAAATGTCTCTCACCATGCTTAATTTCATGTACCTCCGTCATGTCTCTCCTTTTTTTCTAAGCTAAAGTATTCCAGATGCTGCAACCTTCCTTAGGAGCTGCTCTTGCCTCCTGATTATTTTAGTTTCCCTTTTTGCACTTTTTAACAACTCTACAATAATCCTTTTTTAGGTACACTACACAATATTTTAAGTATGGTTGCACCATAGAGTTGTATAAGGGGCACAAGATACTGGCAGTTTTGTCTGATCCCACTTAAAGCCCTCCAAATGGGTGGCCATCGCTACATCATGCAGAAGGGAATCCCACAGCTTTACTACACACTGTGTGAAGAAGTGCTTCCTTCTATTCTGAACCTCCCTCCAATCAGCTTTATGGAACGACCTCAGTTTTATGAGTATTGCGAGAGAGGGAGAAAGGTCTCCCTGTCCACTTTCTCACACAGTCACACAAACATTGCAGGCTCCCCTATTGCATTTGCTCATGACATTGGTGATGAGTGACCAACAACATAAATCTTTGTCCCTATACATATACCACTCACAGAACCAGCTTTTAAAATACAACCTAAAAAAATAAGGTTGTATTTTAGAATGTGTTGATTCTTTGAAGGTTAGCATCTAGCTGGAAAGTGCTTGACTTTTTGTTTGTTCGTTTTTATTTTTCTGAGTAAAAGATACATCATCTTGTAACCTGTGGTTTTCTTGTTGCAGTTTTTTTTAAAGAGTACTTTCCTCTTTCCTGTAGGTATTCAGATTAGATCAACAGACATCTATTTAAGTGAGGAAGGAAACAAACCTCAACCTACTTTGTTTCCTGTCTTGCCTTTGCACTTTGCCTCCCTAAAAGGACAACAGTAGCCCCACTCAACCCCAGAGCTATATCTCACAATCTTCCCAAGTCAAAGGGCAACAACCTACTGGTAACCCTTCCAGCAAACCAGTGCCATTTCCAATGCAAGTTATGGTAAACCACTGGGTAAACATCTAATGCAAATATGCTGTTCTGAGTTAACCCTTAAAGGCCATGCGTTACTACCACAATAAAGGAATGAGTTACATTTTTACCACTTCTTCCTTTTGTGGCTTCGAATTAACCAAACCACTCTTGCCTGTTTTGTACAGGCCTTCTCCTAGATTGTCCCGGAGAATATGCAAAGCAATTTCTACATTCCAGCCACCCACCTATATTTGTTCTCTATTCTACCTTCTTCTACATTCCAGCCAGTTCGCTACATTCACTTGCTTTTGAGTTAAGATCCCCATTAGATAAGCCTTGGATATCACTAGTTGTTGTTCGGCTGTTCAGTCATATCCAACTATAAGCAATCCTATAGGCTTATAGGCAGAATCTCGCCACACTTTCCAATCCTGCGCCACTTCTTTAAGCTGAACTATGCTCTGGCCGCATCCTCTTTGATGGAGTCTAACCACCTTGCTCTTTAGGTGACCTGGTTTTCTCTCACCACTGAGCATTCCAAGGATTATATTTTTTCCTAACGAGCTTGATTGCATAATGTGGCCAAAATACGTGCGTCTCAGCTTTGTTACCTTGCTGACCAGGGACACGTCTGGCTCAATGTGCTCCAGCACCTGCTTGTCCATCACCCCCACTGTCCATGGAATGCGCAGGCGCCTCCGCCAATGCCACCATTCAATGAGTCAGTTTTCCTCTTGTCTCGCTTTTTCACTGTCCAACTTTCACAACCATAGCTTGCAATATGAAAAATGATCACTCAGACCAATCTGCACTTGGTTGCTAGGCTGATGTTCTTGTTTTTCTACACTCGATTCATGCGGGTCATTGCCATACGACCTAGTGAAATTTGTCGCTTTATTTCTGGATTGCATTCACCACTGTGAGCAATGGATATCACTAGGAAGGGAGGGCAAATTCCCTTGGACCACAGGAACTTCGACTTAATCATTCTGTAATTCTGTAGACAGTTCTGACTGATGAGTGTACCTGTCACATTCTTCATCATCTTTAGGTGTACCCTGAGAAGCTCACACCAGGCCCCCAACAGTTGCTGCTAAGAGTGTTGGGACCCTAAGAATGGGGAGGAGTAGAGCAAGGGGAGGATTAGTTGGGGAGGAAGAATACATCCATTCATTGTATCTATCACATTCTATACCCCCCAGTAGCTGAGGTTTGAAGTTCTGGGAGTAAAGCAGAAACAGTTTGTACAAGCAGAGCTGAACTCCAGCAAGGCGATTCTATCTAATTTTGGCCAGTCACTCCTGCTCTTGGGGTTGAGGGGACTGCACTGGGAAGGAAGCAACGGACAGTCTCCTGCTCAGCATTTTCAGGATTCAAGCCAATGATTGGCTCAGAATTTTGTTAACTTTCCAGTTAGAAAGTTCAAATAGGCTTCCCTATCCTGATGTTCTCCATATGTTTTGGACTTCAGCATGTTTCAGTCCTGCCAGCCTGGCCGATGGCCAGGAATCCTGGGAGATGTCATGTCAGATATCTGGAGGGAACTGGGTTGATGAAGGCTGTCCTACAGGCTTATCAGTCTATCTCCATCTGTAGCCAAAATGAGAATACAGGATCTGGAACATGGACATGTGATGTGTTCTTTATTGTTACCTCCCTTCAAACAACTGCCGGTGGGGCAGGCTAGAATGCGAAAGAGGTTTGGTGTACCAGTCAACTCTGCGTTGCACAACACAGAATTTATCTCAATTTGTGTTTCAGATGGCACATTACTTGCAGTGGGATCCCACGACAACTTCATTTACATCTACACAGTAACAGAGAATGGAAGGAAGTACAGCAGATACGGAAAATGTGTGGTAAGTTTTTCATTCAGGATATATTGGTAGTGTAATGAAATTTTATGAAGCCACACTGCAAACTTTATTGACTGAAGCTGCTTCTGGACCTGTTGACTCCTCAGGATCTCCATGCTTTTGACATAAATTGAGATGCCATGCATAAGGGATGGCATATAAAAGTTTTAAATAAAATAAATATAACATATAGAATACAATAGAAAAAAGCAGGATAAAATAGTGTAAAATATTAGATATCTTTAAAATATCACAATGCAAGTCAGGAAAAGCCTGAATGAACACAAGGTGTTTGAAGACTGCCACCGTTTCTGCCTCTCAGCCACATAGGAGAGAGTTCTGGAGATGTGTGCTCGTCGCGTTTCTTGCTATCTGCCTCATGATCAGTTTGCAGTAAAAAGGATTCTGATTTAGAAGTCTCACAGGCAAAGAGCAAACTGCTTCTAAGCCGCCCACTAAGCATCAGTCAAGATGGTTTTCCGTGGGTAAGCCCAGCCCCGCATTAGCAGTGCACGCCAATTCTAAACCCATTTTTAATTGATAAACATCTTCCTCTGTCCACTTTTATATAGACATTAAATTCCTGAAATTGTATTTGAAATGATACTATAATCTTACATTTTAAGCTTTAAGGATTGTTCCAGTTAATACCATCTTGCACTGTTGTTTTTTCAGGACGTATCTTTGGGACATATTTCTCTTCATCAAGGCATGACTGCTTTTTATTTCCATGCAGCTATTGTCACCAGCTGCTGTTGTCGCCTCCTCCTTTCATTTCCCTACCATGGCTACCATTTGTTGGCTTGACAGGCTGAGAGCCAGTGAGAACCAGGCTGTGGCATCTCCTGCTCCTCCTTCCCACTCTCATGATCCGGCCCAGAATGAGGGGCAACCAAACAAGCAGGAGGCAGTGTTGAAAAGGAGGAGCGGGTCTTGTCAGTAGGTCCCTGCTGGGAGAAGATTCTTGTAGGTGGCTGACAAAGCCCACCATTGATGCTGGCCCTGAGCACAAGGCATCCAGATACAATCTCCTGTAGGGCAGAAGGTTCAGGGAAGGTGTGTGGCTCAGGTGTATGAACATACAGGAAGCTGCCATACTCCAAATCAAGTGAGGCAAGAGCCCCTCTCACCTGTAGATACTGGAATCTTCTGCATGCAAAGAGGTCCTTTTCCACTTAGGCATTTCCCCTGCCCCATCTTTTTTCCTGACTTCCAGCTCTCTTCCCACCTGCATGGTCCCAGCCAAGAACAGGTGCTTTGCAAGCCTTTGAAATCCCTCCCATTTCGTGTCATGTCAAAGTGCTAGCGGCCAGCCATGTCAGCGTGATCTGCTGCGTTCTGTCATGAACCTCTTACTGTCAACCTTCCACCCTTCCTGGTTCTTATTTATTGGCAGTGTGACGCTTCAGCACTTGCTGAATTATAAGGCCAGAAGTGACCAAGAGCTAGCACTGAATGGCATACACAGACTTTTCTTTATTACAATTTAAAATTCGTCCCCTTCCCCCTACCTACCACAGTGGACCGAGGATGAAAGAAAATTAAGCAAAGAAAGACCTTTTCATTTGAAAGCCCTGGGCTAACCCAAAGGCTAGCTGCTGGGTGGTGTTCCATCCACAGAACAGCCCCATGGCTCTTCCCAGTTCTGAAAAGAAAAAGGTTTAAGTATTGATAGCTTTTGTATCCAAGAAAAAGGCACAAATATTGATTCCCTACATGCTTTGAAGAGTACTGGTCGACAAACATGCACATTACACTGTGTGCAAATTCCTTGAAGCTGCCATCTTTTAAGCTTTACAGTCTGCCATTTTTCTGTGAGAAATCGAAGATAACAAATTGTTTCATTCATGGATTCCTTTAGATCACCTTTCAAGCCTGGGAGGTATGTGTGGTTCCAGAGGGGCTCTCATGCAGGGAAACTATTTAGACCCAGCCCTGCCTGGCATCACCAAGATTACATTACAGCATGTGCTTTCAGCAATTGTGCTTTCAACCATGGCTTGTTATTGATATGCTGGCTTGACAAAAGGGCAGCTTCATGTGTTTCCATAAAGTCGCTCAGGAAATGTGCAGAACATTTCCACTTAGACAGTTCCCATGTATTGCTGCAGGCTTATCAAAAGATCATATTGTGTTGATCCTCATGTGCCAATGCTTAGGGGCTTGTATATCTGCAGTATCTATTGCCCCCTTGTGGGGAATTGTTAATTTAGCTTAATTATTTGCCTGAAGAACACGAAACTGGCAATTGATAAGCATTACAAGACACATTTATTGGAAATCTTCAGAAATTTTTGTGGGCATGTGACTGTTGGTTTGTTTATTTGTCTTTTGTGTGGGCAGGAGGTTGGCTGTTTGGTTGGCTTTTAGCCATCTTGAAAAATTCAAGCTGTTGGTATTGCTGCAGGTATATTAGTGACAATCTCAGATAATAAGAATCAGAATTGATAGGCAGATAATAGATCCGCAAATGCTGAAGTATCACAGGGGCAATATATAAGAAGAACCGGAATGGAGGGGAGGTTTATAGTGAGAAGTTCATGAAAGAACATAGCAGATCATGCTGACACCTCTGACCAGTTCCACTTTGATATGATACATCTTGGGAGGAACGGATGGACTTCACAGAGCAGCGCTGCTTTGGGTGCTTTTGTCTCCTTGCTCTCAGCCTGCTGTAAAAGGAAGTAAGAGAAGGATGTTGTTGGACTCACCACCAAACCACATGTAAAGTTTCTTGACGACCCTTCCTACAGAAATCTTTACTGCTGAACCAACCCATGGTGGGTGGCAATTGCTTATTTCCAGCTCCTGTCCCTTCTGCGAACCCATTTCCTAACTTACCAGCTGTTTCAAGTTCCTTCTCAGTTTGATTATCATGTCCACCTCTTTGCCTTGATTGTTGTAACCAAAACAGATCTCCCAGATCTTCTTAATGCCACCTGCATGTTCTGTGTTTTGCCGGGAGCTACAAAAGCGAGGTGGTTGTCAAGCACCTGGCTAGTGGCCCATGTTCAGCTTTACTGGTTGCAAGTTATCCCAGGCCTGCTTCAGCTACAAAGGTACTCTAGTTTGCTTTGGGAGGTGGATGTGCCAGAGGGTCCAGTACAGGCTCCTTCCCAACCCTGCGATGCCTAGAATAAGCTCCAGTTTGCATTGCTGTGGATTCCTCTCTTAGATCTCGCAGGTGTACATGCTGCTTCCAGCTTACTGCATTCTCTTATCCTTTCACTTATTAGTTCCATATCCAGAGGATGTTTTGGGAGCAGCGTTTGTACATTCGGCTGTGTACATAATTGGCCAACAACAGGAAAGCCTGGTTTAACTCAGCCCTTCCACGCTCTGTTGCATTTGTTAGTCAGCGTGTTTTGCAATATGGTTGCTTGAACACTGCAAGAGCAGAAGGATGCTGGTATCCCCATCCAGGACGCAGTGGTACCCTTCGGTTTGGACTACCAAGCGCAACATCACAAGCCCTCTGACAGAAGTAAATGCAAACTACAAATGCATTGTGCCGTATCCCTTTCATTAGGGTGGAAGTTGTTTCAAAGCAGAGCTTCTGTTCAAATTTCTACACCCCTTTGCAAGACAGAAGTACAGCTGAAATGGACCATGGGCATAAAGTCCATGGCTTCATATCCCAGGTGATCACCCCAGGAGTAACAGGTGGGGGGGGGAATCAGGACAGTCAGTTTTCATTTTATTCCTGTAGTCATAACGGCAGTGCCATCACCTAAGAAGGGCTTATATTCACAGTTTGCTTGTTTTTAGATCAAGATTGGCAAGCAGTTTTCATGTTGCCCAAACATATCAGGAAGGTGGAAGCAGTTGTAAAGAGCAGGATGGTTGTTGGGGCAGAAAGAAATGTCAGCTGTGTGTTTCATAGCTGAAGTAATACATGTGTATATCTAAAAGGGATGCCCATACAACCATAAAGTCCAGGAGCTAAAATTACTATTGAAAGGAGACCCCAACATATGTAATGTGAGCAATTTTATCCCAACATTTTGGGATAATGGGATATTTGGGATAAATGTTTTATCCCAACATTTCATTCTATGAAATGAATGATACATCTCTGTGAAATGTTGGTGTGACTTTTAGGGCAAAAATCTGCACCTCAGGTCCAGAGCCTAGCTCCGTCTGTCTTTCAGTCAGGAATGAATGAAGACTCTAGGACAGCATGACAGTATAGAATTAGAATATTTCTGGTGTGAGAAGGTATCTCTGGTGAACCCTAAACGGTGCCATGATACTAATGTCTACCATGATGCCTACATACATACATACATGATGTCCTTGTGTCTGTAGATATTAGCATATTGTACAAGCTGCCAATAATAACAATTCCCATCATGTCCAGTATATCAGGAGCAAAGTCCAGCATGTCCCTTTCATGGTGTTAGTTGCTGAAGGGAGATTTCTTGCAGCAGTGGGATGTTCAGAGCTCTCCTCTCACATTTTCTTGCTCGAAGGGATGTTCCAGCACAAGACAGACTCTTCCCAATTGCTTCTTTCTGTTTTCTGTTTGCTGCAGAAATTTTGACAGCTGCCAAATATTTGACAGGATTTAGTCTGTCCTTCCCCCGCCCCCTCATCATATTGGAGCTAGTTTTCTGGTATCATAAAGATCCAGGATAAGGGATGGGGGGATGGGGAAAGCAGGAAGATTAGATGGAGCACTTCTGTTTTCTAATCCTGCTGCATGTCTCTGAGCCTTCTACTTCCCTTTGTCCAATTTGGCAGCAAATAGCCATCTGTCATCACGGCATTGCCCGACCTTACTTTGTCCAGGTCCAAATATGATTAAATGGTAACAAACATGGGATTTGTCCCTAAGTCAAAAGAGAGAAGTAAGTGGGAGTGCTCAAGGAAAGGAGGGAACAGACAAGCGCCCTCGTGGTTACATCACGGTTTAGTGTTACATCCAGACTTGCCATGCATTTGCCTCCCAGCTTGCAGGGGTTCCAGCATCACACTCCTCCACAAATAGGCTCACTCCCCATAAGAACGCAAGAAAATCCGTGCTGGATCGGATGAACCCAAAGGTCCACCCAGTCCAGCACTCTGTTTGCACGGTGGCCAAGCAGCTGCCCACTGGATCCCTCAAGCAGGAGAGGTGCCAGGGTTCCACCTGCCCAAGCTCCTCGGCAGTTGGTGTGCGCACAAGCCTGCCTCCTCTGATCACAGAGGCAGCGTGCCTAGAAAACTGCCTTCTGCGGAAGCCTGGCTGTATCCTCCCATGGATACCAGGAGAACAAGCACAACCTTTGCAACGAAATGCAGTAGAAAAACAGTGTTTCTGCCAGGTGGGTGACCGCTGTCACTTACCTGTTCGTTTAGGTGGCCTCGAAACGCATGCAAACACACACCGTAGAGGAGAGATGTGTCCAACTGCAGCTGTCACGCTGTCTGTAAACAACAAAGGTTGGGGAAGGCTGGTATAGGATAAGATTTAGAGGTATCGGAGAAGTAAATGGTATTTGCTAGGCTGTGAACCATAGCCACTGCTGTGGAGACACTGCAGATTGCAGGGAAGCAAACCAAGGTTGACCATGCTTGCCAATCAGCACAGAGCTAAAGCCAGTCCTGTTTGCCTAAGGAAGCATATGTCTGCAACCATGTCATGTACTTGGTGCAATCAGGGTGTAACTGTTGGGCAGAAATGTGGGCTGCTCTCCTGTACACAGTGACCCTGTGGGTCATCGTATCCTCGGGTGCCTACACTGCCTAGGACAGGGCTGGAAAACCTGTGAGTTTCCATCAGTTGGGGCTTCCAGGTACTTTCCATACTAGCTGGGATAGCCAGTGGTAGGGTATGCTGGGATTTATAAACCAAACCTGTGGACACCCTTGGTTCCTAAGGAAAATATTTGTGTTTGTACACATTGCTGGATTTTCATACTCTGTATTGCCTTATTCTTTGCGACAAAACTAGCTAAGTGAGGGTGGAGAGAGCCAGTGTGTTGTAGTGGTTAAGAGCCTGGGACTGGGACTCAGACGATCTGGGTTCTAGTCCCCGCTCAGCCATGGAGCCAACTGGGTGACTTTGGGCCAGTCACAGGCTCTCAGCCCAACCTACCTCACAGGGTTGTTGTTGTGGGGATAAGATGGAGGAGGAGATGTAAGCTGCCTTAAGCCCTTTGTAGGAAAAAGGCAGGATATAAATTGAAAAATAAATAAATTAAGTAAGCAAGTGAGAGTGAAGAGAGCCAACTCTGATTTTCGAAGCCATCTTTCTTGCCATCTACTGGATACATATTTAGCTTAGTTCCCGTCAAACAATCCTTTGTTACACTGTGCTTTTGTGCATCTTCTAGTGTTTTGCCTTCTTACATTCGTTGTGAACATGGAGAAATTCTATCAAAGCAAAAGCAGCAATCATCTTTAATAACCAGCCTGGAAGGACCTCAGTATTCAGAGTTACAAGATGCAATCTACCATGGCCATGCAAATCCATGTATGAGCTTCCACTTAAGTTCCATGAAAAGGAATGGGCATTTTGCAGCTGCAGAATTTGGTAGATTACTCACATAATCACTTGTGTCATTTTGTTTTACAAGGGGATTAAAGCAGGGGGAAGTAATTCTGACTTGTAACTGGAATTTAGAGAGCTTGTTTATTTCTCTTTTGTGTTTGTGTTTTTTTAGGGACATACCAGCTATATTACGCACCTTGACTGGTCCCCGGATAATAAGTACATAATGTCCAACTCAGGAGACTATGAAATTCTATACTGTGAGTACAAAACTGTAATTACCTCCAACCTAGAAAACTTCCTGAACAATCATAATAGGAAATACTGGGGCGGTGGTGGAATTGGGTGGGGAATAGGTCTGAAGCAAACCAAACTGCTGGAGTGAATTGCTTACTGAAGGAGGAGGCTGGTGTGCAGCCGCTAATAGCATTCAAGGCTGGTTCTTACAAAATGGTGCCTTCAGAAATAGTTCACATCCCTGCAAGGACATCAGTCAGTTTACAAGGGAGGGCAGTGCTGGTGCTTCACAGAGATGTTTTCCATTTTGGAAGCAGTTTGCACACTAGACCATTTCTTTGTTCTTTATGTATTTAATTTCATTGCTGTTCCAGCTGTCGCTGAAACTTTCTGGACAGTTTACAGCAACATATAAAAGCAATAAAATACAATAGATAAAAACATAAGAATTAAAAATAATTTAAAAGAACATGAACATTAAAAGACAGTAAAAAAGACCCAGTCAAGAGTAAAAGAAAGCCACCTGGCTAATCATGTCAGGTCCCTGAATGACCAGGGTTGAAGGACCTCCATGGATTTATTGCATTTATAACCCACCTTCTTCCTGCAACCCAAGGCAGATTACATAATGCACTCCATTATATCCTCACAACAACCCTGTGAGGTAGGCTAGGCTGAGGTGCCTGGCCTAAAGCTTCATGGGGACCCACTGGGGACTAGAACCCGGGTCTCCCGAACCCCAGCCCGACACGCTGAGCACTGCACTGCTCTGGCTTTAGTTGGAGCCTCACAGCAGTGTCTAACATGGATACTTGCTGATGCTGTGAGCACCTCTCCTTGGGTGCTCAAAGTGCCCCAAGTATGTCAGGGAAGCACAGTCTATGACCCTCCTGAGCCAAGGGCTGCCCCCCAGGAGCTCAAACTTCCTGTATTTGTTCAGAATTCCAAAAGCAAGGTAGACAGGAAGGTTGAGTACTTGGAGATCCCAGCTGAGGACTGGTGATGGCTTTCATCTTGGAGGTCGTAGGTTGTGCACATTTGGCATATGTTAACTTTGTAATTCCAGCTGTAGCCCAATAGGTTAGCCAATGACCACATCCCAGAGGAGAGACAGTAGTTTCCCTTAGGGTCGGGGTGCAGAACCTCTGGCCCAGGGGCCAGGGAGTTCCATTCTGGGGCCCCCAGATGGCTAAGCCCCTTTACATTGGCAGTCTCCTGGTTTCCTGGCTTCTCTGCAGCTTTTCTCCCCATTCTGACAGGGCGGAATGCCCTTCCTTGGGCTTTGTTGCTAGCAGTGAGAGTCGTAAGTGAAAACTTGCTAGTATTTTGGGCTCAGGCCCATTTTGTCTTCGGTTCTGCCATCTCTGTCCTGCGAGCTTCTCCGAAGTCTCATTCAGCTCCAAGAGGAGGGCTGTGGGTTGTTAGTTCAGTGAGCAACCACAGTAGCCTTGGGACAGACACACATGGAGGCACCAGGGACAAGGAAATGATAGGCGTGGACAAGAGGGATTGGACAGGAGTTAAGTGGCATTGTGCCCCTCTACTGCTTCCGGCCTGGCCCGTGTGGGCCATGTGGTCCCCACTGCACATAGGCAGCTTCCCACCAATGAGAGCTTCTGTCCACATTAGAGTCAGTAAAAATTTGCACACATCCAGAGCACTTCCAGGCAATGAACTCAGATGAGCTAAACTCACACAAGAGCCCTCTCCCCATCTCCAAATGATTTGCTATTTTATGAGCAAATAAGGAACAGCATTCCCACACAGTCCTGGCTCAGTTTCTTGTATCTCCATTTTTAACAAGGCTGAGACCTTGGACAGTTGCTGCCTGTTAGACTATAGCAACCTAGATGGACCAGCATTAAGGTGTGTAATACGTCAGTTTCCTTGGCAGGTGTCTTGGCTCAATGTTGGGTCATTAGGGCAAAAGAGTCTGGATTTACTGACATATGTGTGAGTTTCTGAGTTGAATACCAGAATTCCACGTGAAATTTATAATAATTGGTTTTGACGTATAAAAAAGCCTAAACTGGCAGAAACTTAGTAAACTCTACATGTGAACTTTTACACTTCTTGTGATCTGTGAGCTTGGATCCTTCCTTCAAGCTGAATATCATATGTAGAACCCTGGAGAGGAACTTCTTTTCGTAATGGCTCTGGAAGTCCATCTCCAAGAAAGTTGCATAGACTCTTAAGTTTTTTAGATATTATATAACAGCCATTTATTACTGGGTTTTGACATAAAATTGGTCTTCAATGCAGAACACATAAAACTAACATGCCATTTTTTATTTTGATGGATTAAGCTTTACTCCACCTAAAAGACAAGAAACTATGTCTTTTTGGTCTGTTAGCAGTCTGTGTTAAAAATGAAATGTAAGGAAATGTGCAGTCTCAATGCACTGATCTGGGCTGATTGAGAGTGAGCTCTTTTTAAACAATCCACTGGCAAATGCATTTCTGGGATCTTTAAGAGTTTGCTTCTACCCAAGATGAATGTTCTTTTGCCTGCCCTTTGTCCTGAACTTACAGATGATCCTACAGATGAGAGGGGCCTGTCAAATGATAGATAGCCCTAACAAGGCAATTCACAGTGTAAATTTTTAAAACATCTCTTAGAGCAAAAATTAAAGGATTATCGCAATCCTGAAAGTCTAGAGCAGATCTGGGCATTGCATGGCCTGCAGGCCACATCCGGCCCGATGGCTGACGCTGACTGGCCCGCATGAGGTCACTGGCAAATTAAAAGTCAATGCAAATATATATCATCGTAATATAGATGCAAGCAATGCAACTGCACGGCTTTTATTTTGAAGGATCTGCTAAATTGAATTGAATTTATTGCTTTTCATGTAATGTTAATGTTAATGTTTTTGTGAATATTCATTAAATAGTGTTGTTCTGTGCTCCACATTGATTGTAATGTTTCATTTACTGTTTTTATAGAGGTATATATTGAGCAGAGCTGTAAGTGTATTGGTCCGGCCCTTAACAACTGTCAAAGCTTCTCATGTGGCCCCATAGGAAAATGAATTGCCCACCCCTGGTCTAGAGGGACAGGAGAGGAATGCTAGCGGGAGCAAGTGCTACGCTGGACTAGTCTTAACACAGTCGCATGCCAGCTTTCTGCCCAAGGCCCAGATGCCTTCTGCTCCAAGCGGATTGCTTCCTGGTCCCTGGCACTGGGTAGCCTTCCATGCACGGTGCATCAGAGGAGAAGCGGCGGTTGCTCAGCTTCCCATTTAAAGCGGGCTGGGGAAATGGTGCTCCTCCAGGTGGTGTTGGACTACAGTGCCTATTTTCCCTGCCCATTGGCCAGACTGGCTGGCACAGATCGGAGCTGTAATTCTGCCACTGTAAATTATCCGCAGGTTTATGGTTTCTGATTGATCCAACACGCATGCTGTGCTAGGGACAGTGGCCGTGCCTTAGCAGGTTGAGCACGTACTTTGTGTCCAGCATCTCTCATGAAAGAACCCCAAAGAACGTGGCTGAGGAGGCTCCGGACCCACATCCAGGGGAGCTGCGGGTAGTCAGAAGTAGACTGCAGTGGGCCAGAGGCACATTTATATATTCATGTATAAAGTAACTTTCAAAAACAATTTGAGCTGTCCTTTTTGATTAAAAGATAATGGGTATTGAAGGGCGATGAAGATAGGGCTGGCTTTGTTGTCAGATATTCCCCTGGTAAAGGCAACACTGGCGATCAGCTAAAAATGGGGTTCAGTTTTCTCCTATATAACTCAGTGACTACCATTCACTTGTATGGTGGGGGAACAGGGGATAGGAAGCTAAACTTCCAGGCACCTTCGAGGGAAGGAAGGAATTGACGCTGTGAAACATCTTATAGGGAAGTCCCTGGCCCCATTATGATGCTTCTGACACTAGTGAAAATTTCCCTTGCATAATAGGGTCCCTAGAAGAAAAGGGCTCTAAATTAGCCTTCCAAAATGTGGCACAGGTGTTTTGGACTACAGTTCCCATCAGCTTACATGCTTCCATTGTTTTTCACTGTTTCTTCTTTTGTGGACAAGATTCCATATGATTTTGCCTCTGGGTAGTCCTATTTTTAAATTGGGAATTACTCAGGAATCTGGTTAAATCTAAAGCCAACTGAGGCAAGAAATATTTGTGAGAAACCGTCACTCCCTGGGCAGGGATCACATTACAAAGAGGAACTGTAGAAAACTGAACACTGAGCGGAATAGGAACCCCCAGAGGTCCACTTTTTCCCCAAGTCATGTGTCAGGAGACAAGATGAGCTGAGAACATTCCAGGGCAGCTTTTCCTCCAGAAGGATTTAACTACAAAGCCCATTGTTCCCGACTTTTGGTCATGCAGCTTGGAGTTGATGGGAGTTGAGATCTGAAACAGATGAAGGGCCACAGCAGGTAAAGGTTGTTGAGGAAGGTTGTTAAAAGCAGGTAAAAGCAAACCGCTTCCTCGTGTAATTCCATTACCTACATATGCCTTTTTTAATTAATAAAGGGGACATTCCAGCCGGCTGTAAACTAATGAGGAACCGTTCTGAGTGTAAGGACATAGATTGGACAACATACACTTGTGTACTGGGATTTCAGGTATTTGGTGAGTAACATCTTTTTAATATGACTATTCCTAAGTTTCAAAATTAGTGATATTAAGGATAATAAGAGGAAATTCTGCCACATTCTGCATTTTAAGCATTTTTACCTAGTTTGACTTCTTAACCAGCATGTCAACAATGCTCCAGCAGCACCCGGTGGCCTGTTATGTGGAAATAAATGTGCTGAGATGGCCTTTGGTAGTATCTGAGACTAGCCACTTTGCAAGGGAGTCCCTGGAGTGAAGGGATGTGGTGCTTCATCCTCTTGATCTTGCAATACTTTGCCCATGCAATGCAATGCCATCCATCAAAAAAATATGAGGGTTTCTTCTCTGTTACACTCTTCATGTGAAGCTCTTTCTGGTCCAAAAGCTGTCATTCCTACCCCTCTAAAAGACTCCCTTTTTAGGACCTCTGTAGTCACAGGAGGGATGGAGCTCCATGATGACTCCTCCTTTCCTCCCTATCTATGTCCATTTACTATTTTTAAAACACTGTAACATTTGAATGTGTTTTATTGCACCATGTCAAGTATTTCCATCAACCATGGGATATGAGGCGCTGTATATAAACACTATTTTTTTTAGTAGACTAAAATTTATACTGCATTAAATAGCCATTTTATAATACTCATTAGTCAATTGGTTAATTTCTTGCCATCGTTTCATGGGTTAAAAAAGTTCACCCAATTAATTGAACAGCAGGTGGGCTTTTGAAATGAATTATATTAATACTTTAAAAATTGACCATACAATTTTAATGTCAGAAGTGTTTTTCCTCCCTTATTCATGGATCAAGGACTGTCTTTCTTCAGATTATGTGCATCCTCACATGGAAATGCCATCTTCTTCTGAACTGTTTGTTGTTCTTCTGCAGATGATTCAATTTTAATTGATCAATTACAGAGATTGGCAACTGGTGGTCCTGTGGATCTTTTGGTCTACCGTTCCCATTATCTTTAGCCAGTAAAGCCTATAATGAGGGATGATGGAAGTTGTGGGCAAAAATATCTAATAAGCCACAAGTTGCCCATCCATGTTCATTTCTGTGACTAATTGGCCAAGATTCTTGTATAAGAGGATGGCATACATACAAAGGCTTTAAATAAGAAAGGCAGACTGACGAACAGACCGACAGACAGAAAGATTCCTTAAAGACAGGAGAGGGGAACTTGTGATCCTACAGATATTGTTGATCTGCAACATCCATCATCCTTGATCACTGGCTGGGGCTGATGAGAAGAATCCAACAGCATTTGGAGAGAAGTTTTGCCCCCCTGCTTTTCATGGGTTATGGCCTTAATGTGTTTTTTTTTTCTCCTGCACTGAAGGAGTCTGGCCTGAAGGATCAGATGGAACAGACATAAATGCTCTCATCAGGTCTCACAACAGGAAGGTGATAGCAGTTGCTGATGACTTTTGTAAAGTCCACTTGTTTCAGTATCCCTGCTCCAAGGCAAAGGTATGTCTAGATGTCACAGATTTAGGGGCATGGGTGAAATATTAATATTGTAGCTGGAATTCTTCCCTCTCCTGTATTGCAAAGAGCTGAAAAGCCAGCGGTCTGTATCTTGGATTTTTTTTTACAATTACTGGGCATGCCCAGATATGCAAGCCAGTTAAGTTGATTCCCAGTAGCTTTAGTATTTACAGGAATACTTGATCTCCCCCCCCCCGCCCCCCTAATTTTATGCAATTATGCCACCAGGGAAAGTACCATCCATAGTTAAAAGAGTGTTCACACAGACCAGGGCGGTCCTACTTTTCAGACTTCAAGGGCCTCGTGAGGACTTCCAACACAGAACCCACACAATGAATTACACTTCTGTGTAGTAAATTGAAGTGTTTGCAAGATATTTATTTAATGTAATATACACAATTTAACCATTAAACAAGGGAGAAAACCAATATGAGGTCTCAGCATTGGCTTGAGAATGCCTCATGGCTCTGTGATATCTGCAGACCAACACTTCCCAGTTTGCCCTGCCTGTTCCGGCTGGCAAGCCCAAAGGCGCTCAGCTTCTGAGTGCCTTTGTGCTCCTCAACCGGAGCAGCACGGGGCCGCCAGCCCAGCTGGGGAGGGTCCGTTGGCTGGCAGCCCCGCACTGCTCTGGCTGAGGAGCTCCTTAGCAGGAGTGGGCGGGGAGAATTGCCTGGCTGGTGGCCCAGTGCTCCTGTCAGCTGAAGTGGGCAGGGTTAGGGTTAGGGCATGAGCTAACTGGCATGAGCTCTTGCAGGCCCCAGAAAGAGAAAGACGGGCTGGCAGCTTGCAGGAGATCACCACAGTCATGCCCGTGCTATTGCTGGCATCTGGACGGGGAGAGGAATGGGAGGATCCAAGCTGCAGGAGGGCCTCACAGCAGGGCCTCAGGGGCTGCATGTTGGACCACCCCAACATCCGTTATGACCACCAGTAGCATACCAAATTTCATGTCAGAAATCATGACTGACTTGCAAGGAGGCCTATTTTCTGAGGATATGTACATGCTGTCCTCTTCAACTTAGGGTAATCCTATATATGTAAGCCCTCCAGAATGACCTATCCTTGGCAGGCCTGCTCAGCAATTTATGAAATTAGTCTATTTCATAGTTGGTTTTCCGGTGCTGCTGCCGCCGCTGCTGCCACCACTGCCTCCTCCTCCTCCTTTGATTTATAGTGTGATTGTCTTCTCCAGGGAGATGAAATATATAATTTTACTAGGAAGGGTGGTAAAGGTAGGTGTAGAAAGCATCTTTTCTTTCCTGACTAAAATCATATTGTTGGTATCTTCTTGAAATGGAACAGATCTTCCTATGTCTATTGTGATCCTAACACCGGCATCCATTTCCTGGTTTGTATCCACAGGCCCCAAGTCATAAATACAGCGCCCACAGTAGCCACGTAACAAATGTCAGCTTCACTCACAATGACAGTCACTTGATTTCAACTGGAGGCAAAGATATGAGCATCATTCAGTGGAGACTAGTAGAGAAAGTAACTCTGCCACAGAATGACATTACAGTGGAAATTGGCACAACCAAAGTGCCTATAAGTGCCAGTGAAAGCTTCATGCAGCCAAGTACCCCTGTCCCCCGTACCCAGCCGTTTGACGAAACAGCAGCCAACGAAGGTGTAACAGATGGTTCTCCAGCATCTTTGGAGAGTGCTCTGGACCAGACTGTGGAGGCCAATGAAGAGCAGAGTGAGGAGCAAAGTGATGGCAGCAGTCTAGATCCAGGTGAGCCAAACTGTGAAGAACCATCCAATGAAACAAGCGAGGAGCAGAGTGGATCCACTATTACTGAAGACCAGCAAGAAATCTCTCCAGTGTCTTAACAGCTTGAACCCAGATGACCTTTATACAGTTTTCCCTTGGTGTGTATACTTTTGTAAAGGGGAAGAGGGTTCAAGTGGGTAAGGGAGGCAGCTCTGAATCAGGAGCACTCTCGTTGTTGGGTTTCAGTTGAAGGCTTTTTAGTCTGATCTTCAGTTTTCAGTGCATGGAACTATTGTAAGGTTCTATCTGGACAGTTCCAGCCAAGAGCTGGTTGGGGCAGTAGGATGTAACTAGTTTAAATGTTTTTCTGAAATTGCTGTCAAAAAGGAAGCATATGATGCAAATGACGTGGAGTAGAGAAGATGGTGGAAGTAGCTTCACCCACAGGCTGAGGAGGGGAAAAAGGCTTCTGGGAAAGAACATTAACACCAAACAGAAGTGCTGAGCATCACCTGCTGCGTAATGCAGTCCAGGTGCAAGCTCCTGTTGGATCTCTCCTTTCTTTTTTATATTAAAAACAGAAGGAGGGGAAAAGAAAAACAGCACAGAAGAGCCATATTGTGCATCGTGCGTACTGCCTTCTTGATTAACAACTATGCAATTTTCTAACACTACTAATTCCTACTAGCCTCTAGACATACTCAGCCCTGGCTGCAGCTAGTTCTAAGGCAATTCATATTAAAGAACACTTCCCACTGTTCTCTGATGATAACGAGTTTTATATAACAAACTTAAGCTTTGCATAGGCTTTTAACTGATGACTTTTTAAATTGGTGACCGCTTGTGACATCTTTTCGAGAAGCTACTGGCCTAGCCATATTGAAACTCAAGAACACCTACTGTGACCTTGATGTGAACTGACTTGATTGCATGACGACAAAAGTTCTAACTCTCAAGTTAAAACTTGGCCTTCAGATACAACTCGCTTCCTCAATAAGAGGCTAAATATTAGAGGAATACAATTAAGTTATAAAATCTGGTGCTTGGGATTAATGTAATAGAGCGATCACTTTCAAAATCTATTTAGGGATAAACATAAAAATAACAACAGAAAAAGTTCTAAAATTTCAAACAGGCTTTTTTGCAGCCTTCTTTTTAAGAGCTGTAATGTAAATGTCATATTTACTTGGATTATGTTGAATTATTATGTTGGATAATTTGGGTTTTTCTCTTGTGTGTGTTATATTTTTGTGTATGTTTTGTTTGTTTGTGTATTTCTCTTGCCCAGTTTTTGTAAGCCATGCAGCTCTGAGACGGCTGGACTTGGCCAGTTATGGGATATCATGGCATTTTATTAATGCATTTGGAAAAGTATCTTTAAAAAGAAATACACCAAACCCCCATCCTCCTTCAGCTACATTTTTCTTAAGTACCTAGCATTTCCTACATTTAAAAGGGTTTGCTGAAAAAAAAATCCTACTTGTTTCTGTTTGATTACATAGGATATTTTTTTTAACTGTGCTGATATTTTAGAATTTAGTTAGAAATTGTGTTTAGAAACTTTGGGTGCGTTTGTTAAGTCTTAAGTGTGCAAGCGTTTACGTGATTGTGCCATTCCAAAGTGCATCGGAACTGTCATTCCCTTCTAGTATCTTCTCAGGAGTTAATGCTACAGATCAGGTATCTAATCTATACATCATTAATAATTTTGAGAATTCAAATGGACTCCCAGGACTCACGCACACACACACACACACACACACACACAGATGTTTACATTCATTCCGGAAAACCTCAGAACAATTCTCTTCAAATGGAGAAAGTTGTGGATTCCAAGCGACCCATCTGTTTGTTCATTTTTAACTGTACCGTTAAATAGTAATGGGGTTGTAGAGCTCTAGTTGTTGCTAGCCATGTTTCCAAATTAGGTCACTGGGCAATGCAAATTGTCATATCAAGGAAGTAGATTTCTTTGGACAATGTGCAAGAGGCGTTCCTCTGGCATCAGAAGGCACCACCAGCCGAATAGGAAGGAGAGCTTTTCAGTGGTTCCACCTCCCCTGCTGCCCCCACGCTTCCCAAAATCTACACCTCAAGCATATTTGGAGGGCACACAGGGAAGTGGGGAAATTGCCAAACATCACCCCCTCTCTGTTCCACTGAAAAATGCCTTTTGGTGGTAGAACAACACAAGTTAAAAGGGATGCTTTAAGGCGCAACCTTATGAACGTTTAGGCAGAAAAAGTCCTACAACACGCAGCATTCTTCATGCTGGCTGGGAAATCCTTTTCCTGTTTAAATATGCATAGACTTACGTCCTAAGTATTTTGGGGAATGTTTGTCAAAGTGAATGGGAGATTGAGCCCTCTTAACATCCTCAGTGAATACCATGAAACAATGCATTTCATTTTGGAAGTATCTATTACCTTAGGGTTGCCATGTAAAATGAGAGTTAATAGTTGTGTTTTCTTCTCATGTTGTAGGTTAAAGGAGGGGGTTTTTTTCTAATATGCAAAAAAGAAAAAAAAAAGGCCTTACAGCTTTCAATTGCTGGCAACTACTGTTTATTGGATAATTAAATCTGTGATAATGGATGGAAATGGGTGGGATTATGTTAACTGTAGATGTTCTAGAGAAGAATTGTGAATTAAATATGATTTAAGAGTGTCATGTGAAGATGTTTGAGCCATTTCTATCTATCATGCATTCCTGTCTCATGGCAGAAAAATTTGAAGATTTAAAATAATAAAGAATCAAAGTAATGGTGATGTAATTTTCCTATTTTGATTTACCTGTGGCGGACCTTTTAGAGGCCTTACACCTCTCCTCATCCCATCCAGTTAAATTTTTTCCTGAGTTCCAACGCTTCAAATGGCGTTGTTGTTGTTGTTACGTGCTATTAAGCCAGCCCCAATTTATGTTGACCCTGAGAATGATTGCCCTTTGAAATGACTTCTCTGACTGCCTGATCAGCTCTCGAAAACTCGAGGCTGTGGCTTCCTTGATGGAATCGATCCAGTCTTCTTGTGCCTTTGACTTTCCCTAGCAGAATTCCCTTCTCCAGTGAATTGTGCCTTCTCATCAGGTGCACAAAGTATAGCAGCTTCAGTCTAGGCCAATGTTTTTCCTAATCCAGAAAATACTCACTTGGCTGCTCTCCAAGATTCATGGGGAGATGTCCCAATCCTCGCCTGATGATATCTGCAAATTTCCAAAGCAGTTGTTGACAATATAAAGAGCATTGTTCTGTGTAGGCTTTGGGTTGTGGCGAAGCATTTATGAAACATTTCCCCACATAGTCAGTTTTGAACCCTTTAAAAGATGATGGGAGACAAACATAAAACACTGATTGGAAGGCAGCTGTAAAAGCAAGCACATTTAGAGTAATTCAGAATCAAGAACCTAAGAACTTATATCTCAGAAAAACAAAAATGCTTTGCTATAGTATAACAATGGTGTAAATGCAATGATAATGCAAAGGAACAGTCAGATACTTCATACACGTTTCTATATAGTGCATAGAGTTAGGTCCCAAGATAGTTATCCTTTGAATAGATCTACAGAGATCAGTGCAACGTAAGATAATCATTACTAACTTAGGTCCTACTGATTTCAATAGGACTACTTTACACACAGCTGATTTGGCCCATAGTTTTACTGAGTGAGGGGAACTGGAGCCCAAGGGCAACACACACTGTAGCTTCTTTGTTCCTCTGCAGACAATTCCATAAAGACAAAAAAGTAGCATGAAAGTAGCCAGCTGTGTGGCAGTTGTGAGGGAGCTTCTGCCTGCTGCTACCCCAGTGCCTGAGACCGAGACAAGGGGGGTCGTGCCTGCTTTTGCCTGTGGCTCCACCCACCATGGAGTGTGGCCACGGGTCAATGGCCTTTCATAGAAAAAGCCCCCCCCCCCCCGCTCCTAGTCTAGAGGGAAATTCTGTCCATGGATGTTAGCCATGCTAGCCAAGAGGAGGGTAGGAGGCACTTTTAATTGGGGGGGGAGAGAGAGAGCCTATTTATTTTATTTTATACCACCTGACTGCTAAAGCTCAGTGGTCTTAATGTAGCTCAACACATTTTGCATCGAAAGGTTCTTTCCCTGGAAGCCAGAAAGACAGACACAATCCAAAGAACGACAATGATACCATTGCCTCACCTTACCTTGTTGGTCAAGCTTAGGCAAACCAAGGGTCCATGTTGCCTGGCAGTGTCAGCCAGGTGTTTGTCAAAGCTCAGAAACTGTGTTATCTGGAAATGGGCACTTCCTGCTCTTTCCCCACAGCTGTCTTGGAATCTGTCATGTCATTGCTTTGAACCGTGGAAGCTCCATTCTGTGCCATTAAACATACAATTGTATCTGTGAAGACTCTTGGCATCAGAGGGGTTAACCCTAGCCAAAAAGCCCAATTTAATTGGTTGATGTTTGCTCATCCCTGTTCCAAGACAGATTGAAGGGACATCGTTTTTTTATTTTATTTGCGACAGATGTTTTACATAGGTTTTAATCATTAAAGAATGGGGAAATTACAGGCAGTAGGATTATGCATTCTGAAGACTAAATGTGTTCCACAATTAAATGAATTTATATGGAGGAAAGGCATGCATTTGCACATTAAAAAAGAAAAAAGATTTTCCAGCATCCTTTGACATTCTCTTCAGTCCTCTGGTCAAGGTCACAGCTAAGTCATTTCTTGTAAACAACCGAGCTCATTTTCACAAACACCCCAGTTAGCAGCCAGATGTTTTTAGCATCTCACAAACAGCATGAAGACAATAGCTGTCCCTTGTTTATTTTCTGCATCTCCTGTTTTGTGGTATACCACCGCCGAACATGAAAATTTCACGAAGTGGTGTCACAAGCATGCAAACCGAGATCCCACAGACCCTCAGACAGCCATGGTGCCTTCAGAAGCATGGAGTGGGGTGCGTTGACACAAATGCCAATCTCCTCCTCCCTTCCCCAGTGAGTCCAAGCATGCCTGGGAACGGTGAGTGCTCAAGAAGGGTCTGAAGGATGGAAAAGAGCTGGCCTGAGCAAGCTCTTTTGGGAGGCCTTTCTAGGCATGTGGGACAGCTGGGGGAAGGTGTGGAGGCATTTGAAGGGGGCGCTGGTGAAGCAGGGGTGGCACAGCTGGGTGCACATGCACTGAGATACAACAGCATGGAGTTCAGGGTGTGAGACCATGAAGGGCTTTGAAAACAAAGACCAGATGCCTGAGCAGGATCCAGGAATCGATAGGAAGCAAGTGAACAATTAAGGAATGGTAACAGAGTTCAAGTGATCAGGAGAGTAAATGGTTTGGGTGGAAGAATTCTCAAAAAGAGGTGAGAAACCAGGCCGCTGGAGCTAAGAAGTTTGCATTCATCCAAACAAGAGGTGCGAGGAACAAACCAGAGTTTTTGCCAGAAAGGAAGGTGCATGTATTTGCAATATTGTAAAAAGAGAAGGGACATGATCTTGGCTAGCATTCAGCTTTCAGACCATGGAATTAGTTCTCTAGCACTGTAAATAAAAAGCAGTTGTGTTTTATTTACTGGCTGTGAAAACAATGGAACAGTAAAAGCTTTTCATTCTGCTGGGTGAATTCCATTTCTAGTGCATTCTCGTTTTTCTCTCTCTGTATTTTCTAATAATGATCATCCACAATACTGGATAAAGTGGGAAGAATATCAGTTTTGCAGCTTGTGTAGGCTTCCTGATTTTCCAGCTGCGGTATTTCAAATATTTCACTATGCCAGTTTCCAAAGAGGTGTTTTCTATCCAGAAAAACTATTTCTGCCCTGCTGTTCTCCGAGTATTAAAAAAAGGCCAAGTTTTTCATCAGTTAATCATTTTAGCAGTCGAAAGACAGGACTGCCTTGAAACAGCTGGATCCTTAGAAATTAGACTCTGCCTTTCATAAATATAGCCCTGTCACCACATATTTTTGCAAAATAAAGGGTGGGCACCAAAACGAAGGGTTTACCTGCCTTGATGGACCGTGGTGGCCACAACTTAGGCAAAGCAGTGTAGTGCCCACACTGGGAACCTACAATTCTCAGTGACTACCACATCTCTTGAGTAACTCATGAATCTGGAAGTGGGTCAGCAACCCAAATGGTAGGCCACATTAGCAATTAGGAATATTATTCTTAAGTAATTCAGGAAGTGACAGGAAATTTAAAACAACAGAGCCACAATAACAATTGCAATTGAATCAGCACAGAATCATAGCAGTGGTACGGAGTAAAATACAATATTAAAAAGTGACGTTTAAAAGTTAAATGTTAAAATGCTAGGAGAATAAAAGGGGTTTCACCCGGTGCTGAAAAGGATAGAAAGTAGGCACTAGGCACACTTCTTTGAGAAGCTGGTTCTACAGCCAGGGTGCTACAACTGACAGGGCCCTGCTCTTGGGAGCCACCCACCTCACTTCCTTTGGAAGGGGCTCCAAGAAGGACCGCTGAAGATGATTTCAGGGTCCAAGTATATATGGAAGGAGGCTGTCCTTCAGATAACAAATCCCAACTTCAGGAGGTGCCATGAACTGCTTTCCCCAGCACTAGGGGAACAAAACTCAGCAAGGGCCTGGAAGCACAGATGGGCAGATCCTCAGGCCTTTGCTCACCAAGACCAGCACTTTGAATTGGCCCTGGAAACAGACCAGGAGCCAGTGCAGCGGTCCACACATTGGCGCAATGCGCCCATGACACTCGCATGAGGTGGAGGAACCAGAGAGGGAGCGGTTTATCTCCCATAATTCTAGAATCCTGGGCAAACATATGAGGCAGAATGGTGGGAGATTCAGGACAGATAAAAGGAATGACTTCCTCACACACCATGTAACTGGGCTACCACAAGACAGAGTGATGGCCACTAAACTGGATGGTGTTAGAAGAGGCTCTGAGCAATTCATGGAGGATACGGCTACCCATTAATTTTTTAAATTAAAAAAATAATTTAAATTTCTGAAATTGAAATTGAAAAGTTTTAAAAAATTAAGACACCTGCTCCTTAGGAGGAAAGCCATGGCAAATCTAGACAGCATACTAAAAAGCAAAGACATCACCCTGCCGAAAAATGTTCGCATTGTCAAAGCCATGCTTCCTGGTTCTAACGTATGGCTGTGAGAATTGGTCCATAAGGAAAACTGAGCGCTGAAGAAGTAAGGCCTTTGAATTGTGGTGCTGGAGGAGACTCCTGAGGGTCCCTTGGACTGCAAAGAAATCAAAGCAGACAGCCTTAAAGGAAATCAACCCTGACTGTTCTTTAGAAAGTCAGATCCTGAAGATGAAACTCAAATACTTTGGCCACCTAATGAGAAGGAAGGACTCCCTAGAGAAGAGCCTAATGCTGGGAACAATAGATGGCAAAAGAAGAAGGGGGCGGCAGAGGATGAGGTGGCTGGATGGAGTCACTGGGGAGGTTGCTGTGGGCTTGGGTGGACTCCAAGAAATAGTGGAGGACTGCAGAGCCTGGAGGAATGTTGTCCGTGGGATCTTGAAGGGTCGGACTCATCGACTAAACAAAACAAGACAAGACAAAAGGCTAGTCATGGCTACTAGCCGTGATGGCTATATCTTATCAGACACACATAATTCCTGGGGAACATGAGCAAGCAGTGCTGCGGCACCAGCATCCTGCTTATGGGATCAGGTTGGCTGGTCAGGTTGGCTGCATGCAGAACCAGGCATGCCCCCAGTCTGTTTAAGCCAGGCTCTTCTGATGCCTCCATAGCTCATGGCCATAGTTGAACTGCAGCTTCTGAACTGTCTTCAGAGATAGTCT